TTCAAATCCCTAGTGCTGCGTAATGAAGCGAGTTCCCATTGTACCATCTTCTGACAACCAAGCAGTTCAAAAGCACATAAGAGCCGGGGTGGCACAGTGGTTAGGGTGCAGTACTGCAGGCCACTGCAGCTGACTGCAGTTCTGCAGTTCAGCGGTTCAAATCTCACCGGCTCATGGTTGACTCAGCCTTCCATCCTTCCGAGGTGGGTAAAATGATTTTGTTGTTGGGGGCAATATGCTGACTCTGTAAACCGCTTAGAGAGGGCTGAAAGCCCTATGAAGTGGTATATAAGTCTAACTGCTATTGCTATTGCTATAAAAAAGTGACCTAGTAGGATATCTAGCAAAAATGTTTTGCTATTATACAAAGGATCATCTAGATGTCTTACTCAAGTAATTTGAATATCAGTTTAGTTTAGAGGTTTGGTTTGGTTTAATTTAGTATAGTTTAGTATAGTTTAGTTTAGTTTACTTTGAGATCATTATGGCTGAAGATTTAATCAAGTATTAAAATTGTTTTAATATTATAATATTGTTTCAGCTAAGTTTAGTTCCCAAATGAGGAAAGAAGTACTGTGCACTTATATGTTGGATTTTTAATGGTCAGATTGTAATTGTTCTCAGACAGGATATGTCTTTTTTCCCCAGCTCTACCTCAGATTTATCCCCAGCTTGATTATTGTTTATTATCTCAAATCTCAGCTAATCAGATAGATAAATGTAATATGGGCTCTATTTTAACATCTGATCATGCTCCAGTAACACTATCATTTGTTGTAAGAAAAAGTTCTCCTGATTTTTTCAGGATTGTATTTTAAAATAGTATTATTAAATAATGACTCACTTTTTATAAAAAAGAGTCATTCTTTTTATAAAAGAGAGTCTTCTGGCTATGAGTCCAAAAGACTTCGAAAAATGAACCTGTTTTGCACAGGGAGCCCAATTCTGTCAGAGATGGAATATCTCCAGAATTAGCGGGGGATCAAGATTGACCCTGAGCTTGTTCGTATCATCCAACCCTCAGCTGTCTCCAGTTAGGATTACTGTAGTCCAGAGTGAACATTATTTCTAATGTTGGCAATGTTGCTATAAATAGATTATTTAAATTCAAATTCAAATAGCTTTATTTTGGTCTTTGCTCAGTCTATAATAGATGATTTAATCCCTATTAAGATAAATGTAGAGATGAATATTACTGATATATGTCCTTAGAAACTTTAAGGTATTTCAAGTGTTTAATTTCTCCTTGTCATCTCTTAAGAACAAATCTCACCCATAAGGAAAGTCTGTAGAATTAGTTCTTTTGAAGGAACAATTGGAAGAAATTGTCAATTCAGTTTCTACAAATTTAAAAAAGAATTTTGTAAGGCCAACTGTGCCAACCTCTGGTCAAATCATTGCAATTTGTCCAGGACACATAGTATAATTAATCAGCCATTGGGGTACATTTGAGAGAAAATACTGATGTTTCTCCATCTTTCTTGAATCATCCTACGAAAAGATATTTGTTGATCAAGTTGGCAGAACTATAATTCCACTACATCTGAAGGACTCTAGATAGCAGGAAGCTGTTCAAAAACATAAACCTGGATTGTTCCCAAAATCAGATTCCCGTTAAAAGAGTTTAGCTTACCTAGACAGCATCTTCTGAGAATAAAATACATCTTAAAAGAGGTTTCTAAAACAAAAGAAAATACAATGGTTAATCAACTCATGTGCCTGTAAATTAAGTCTAATTGTATGTTTGTACCACAATGCTTTCCCCCATTTATCTGTCTTCATTTCTTTCCCCAGCATTTCTCTATATGCCATATTCCATCTTGCATGTTTGTTTGTTTTTCAGTTAAGCACACAGTGGCCTAATCCAGATTAATCACAAAACAGCAAAATTCCACTTTGATTTGAGTCTACAAACAGCAGATAATGATCTTAAACATGCAATGAGATATACCTTTAATAAAATAAATAGTACAAAAGTACATGTTTGGTCTTAATTCAGCTGGACCTCCTATTGATTAATTGATCATGTGCTATCAAGTCAGTGTCACCTTTTAGTGACTTCATAGATTGACCTTTTCCAGAATAATAGATGTTCTCATTGTAGCCCTTCAAATTTGATTTTTTCCAACAATGCACCCACTGCTAATACCAAATCCATGCACTATAGTCTTGGTTCTCATCTACTTTTTCTATAGAATTCTCAAGAGAGTTAGATCTTCATACAAAGTATCCAAAATATGATAATTTGAGCCTAGTTATGGATGCCTCAAATGAGAAGTATGAATTGATTTATTGTATAATCCATTTGTTTGTTTTCAAGATTATCCATGATATTTTCAAGAGTCTTCTCCAGCACCTGAATATGTTTTCCAAAGCTTCATAAGTAACCTACTATGTACTAATGTGCAGCATAATTCCTGACTGCTGGCTTTTAAGCTGATCTTAAAAGCCAGACTGAATTGTAGTCCTGTCTTAGGCATGAAGCCAGCTGGGTGACTTTGAGTAAATCATCCCATCTTTACACAAAGGGGAAAAATAGCCCAGCCTACCAAAAACAGCACCATAAAAGTCAGATTAGGAACACAAGTTGAAATAGGGAAGAAAATGGTAAGTGAGCACCTGTCTATCCTAGACGAGTTCAAATCACCAGGACCGGATGGATTACACCCCAGGATTCTGAAGGAACTGGCAGAAGAGCTCTCAGAAACACTGAACTATATCTTTCAGAGATCCTGGAGCACCGGGGAACTGCCAGAGGACTGGAAAAGAGCTGATGTGGTTCCCATCTTCAAAAAAGGAAAAAAAATAGATCCAGGAAACTATAGACCTGTCAGCCTGACCTCAATACCAGGAAAGATTCTGGAAAAGATAATCAAGCAATGAATTAGTGAACACCTAGAAGTAAACAAAGTAATAGCCAAAAGCCAATATGGATTTGTCAAAAACAGGTCATGCCAGACTAATTTTATTGCATTCTTTGACAAAGTGACAAAATTAGTAGACTAGAGGAATGCCGTCGATATAGTTTACTTGGACTTCAGTAAGGCATTTAATAAGGTAGACCATAACCTACTACTAGATAAAGTAGAAGAATGTGGGTTAGACAGCACCAGATGGATTTGTAACTGGCTGACCAACCACACTCAACATGTAGTCCTCAATGGAACTACATCTACATGGAGGGAGGTATGCAGTGGAGTACCCCAAAGCTCTGCTTTAGGCCCAGTACTCATCAATATCTTTCTCAATGATCTGGATGAGGGGATAAATGGGGAATTCATCAAATTTTCAGATGACACCAAGCTGGCAGGAATAGCCAACACTCCGGAAGATAGGCTTAAGATACAGAAGGATCTTGACAAACTTGAACATTGGGCACTATCTAACAAAATGAAATTCAATGGTGAAAAAAGTAAGACGTTTAGGCAAGAAAAACAAAATGCACAGGTACAGTTTAGGTGGTACCTTGCTCAATAGTAGTAACTGTGAGAGGGATCTTGGAATCCTAGTGGACAACCATTTAAATATGAGCCAGCAGTGTGCAGCAGCTGCCAAAAAAGCCAAGACAGTTCTAGGCTGCATAAACAGAGGGATAAAATCAAGATCACGTTAAGTGTTAATACCACTTTATAATGCCTTGGTAAGGCCACACTTGGAATACTGCATACAGTTTTGGTCGCCACGATGTAAAAAAGATGTGGAGACTCTAGAAAGAGTGCAGAGAAGAGCAACAAAGATGATTAGGGGACTGGAGGCTAAAGTATATGAGGAACAGTAGCAGGAACCGGATATGTCTAGTTTAATGAAAAGAAGGACTAGGGGAGACATGATAGCAGTGTTCCAATATCTCCGGAGTTGCCACAAAGAAGAGGGAATCAAACTATTCTCCAAAGCACCTGAGGGCAGAACAAGAAGCAATGGGTGGAAACTAATCGAGAGAAGCAACTTAGAACTGTTACATTACATTTGCAGCACATGCATTGTTGCAATTCATTCCTTTCCTTAATCTCAGAATAAAACAGCTCAACAATGTTTAATTCAGTTTAATTAATTTTTCATATCAGCCATATTAGCCACATAAGTCCAAAAATTGCAATATATAAAATGAATAGTGACAAAAGTGGATGTTACAGATTATAGAACAACTATGTTTAATTGTAATGTAATTATAGCAATTGTGTATGATATAAATTTACAAGATGAAATTCATATGATTTAGACAATATTACAGCATAAATTTCTGATTGAGTTGGATAATGTTTCTCAGCTTTTACTGACAAATAAAAAACAATATTTTAATTTCTTAACAACAATACTTAATGTTATCAGCTTTATTGATTTACTGATTTGTTATACTTGATATAGTTTTATTATAATTTAAAATTCCCCATTAATTTGAATATATTGTTTCTGTTTATATGGAAATACAGTCAATCCAACTATGAAATGAGAAAAATAATTTTAAATGAAATAGTAAAATAGAATATAGGCTCAGGCTAAACAAAGATATTTTTCAATTGCCTAAATCAGCATTCGTTGATACTTTAAAAAGATAAGCCTTGTTAAAAATTCATATATAAATACAGTTGGATGCAAAAGAAAAGAAGCTGCTAAAAAAAAGAGAGCAAAATCTGTTTAACAGCTAAGAAACAGCAATGAAGGAAAACATCTGGCTGTTTCAGTCAGTTTTTTTAAAAAACAGTTAATTAAAATATCCAAATAAATAGGAACTTGTATGTAGAATGAACATGAAAGCAAACATTAAGGGAGAAATTATCTAAGCAAGATTTTTAGATATAGAATCCATACATTAAGAGAGTTGATGAATATGCTGAATATTATAAGTTGCATTTTAGAAAGCTGCAATAGAAAGAAAAGCCATCAAAATCGGAGTAGATTTTGTCAATTTAATGTGGAATGGTGTCACCTTTACACTGCAGTTGCTATAAGACACAATATACAGTGTTTGCTAGGCTTCCAATCATTGAAGAGATTTTTTAGTACGAGAGTAAGATTGCCAGAGGAAGACAGAAAAATATCCGTTCCATGAGCTTGCCCGATACTCGGAGAGCATTTGATTTCGCTCTTTTTGAAAAAAGAAAATGCAATTAATCATATTACTTTTTAAATATGTAACTTATATAATAAAACTGATACTGAATAATAAAACTGTGCCATGGCTAAAATTATATTGACTTCAGTTTTTCTCATAAGAAAAGTAAGGTAAAGGCACGAATTTAATTAAAATAAAAGAACATTAATATCCAATATAAGATTTCATGTAATATCTCCACAAACTTTGGAAGTGGGTTTTTACATGATTTTGATGGTGCTATTCTGTGTTTCTAATTATTCTATTTTGTTCTCCCATTGCCAAGATATGAACTATTTTCAGATCAAATACAGAATCGATGCAGATGTCATGGTCAGAGAGATTGACAGACAAATAATTAAACTGGGATAAATACAAAATACATCCATACACAAACAGGAAATTGATGGTATCTGAATGAATGATCTGGAAAATCTATTTTAAGGCCTCTTACTTTCATAATAATATATTGGTTGTTCCTAAATGAGATAAAAAATGTTTAAAAAAAACAAGTGAAGAAAAATTACATTTGTTACAGTAAGATTGAATCAAGACATTGAGATTTTGCAGATGTTTCACAGATCGTGTGAACACCTTGTAAATCCAAAGCAGCATGAAGGAACATTTGTTTAGTTGCTACTTGTTAGCATTTCAACTAAGCCAAAGCACGTAAAATTGATGTATAATTCACATTTTCTTCCTGATATTTCCTGCTTTTCTTCTGTTGCCTTTGGGTGTGAAATAATTTTATAAAGTCATCATGTTATTTATTTATTTTTATTTATATACTGTTCCATGTCCCGAGCCCCAAGTAATTCACAGAAAAAAAAGACAATATCTATCTCATCAAACTTTCATCAATAAAACAATCTGCATAAAATAATGTAGAACTGTCTGGGGGCCTTATGGTTGGAGAGGGGTACTTTGTGCCAGCAGAATACACCAACAATGGAGATCTCGGTGATACCAATGCACCGAGTGTCAATTTTGTGGTTCTACTGATCCTTAAAGCACGTTTTGATTATTATCTATTCACAAGGAGTTTTTTGCCTTAACACTAACATGTTAAAAACTGCAAAGTAGTGCAAAGAGACAGGAATTCATGACTGATATTATAAGGCAGTGTTATATGAGAAGAAATGTTGACATTAACTTCAAAATATGTTCTTTAAAGGAGATTTGTTTTAAAAGAAACTAACATTGCCAAAATAGATCGATGCCCAAAATGCATCCCATCTGGCATGGATATCTGGGATCTCCACAGACATTTATAGTATTGATCCCCAAAGTCCTTTGCCAATCATCAGAAGTCATTTTTAAGAATAAAAAATGCATTATTTCCCACTGGTTATATTTTCTCCCTCTGTTTTGGTTCATCAGAAAGATGCATTTTCACAAAACTGTGAATTTAAGATGGCCCACATAGTGAAACATTTAAAAAGTAGACAAAAAGGAAAATGATGAACAGAAACAAAACTTGTGTGCGTGGTCCACCAATCCAATACTTCAATTCCATGAACGTGTGCACAGTTACACAGTGTAGGGCTATATGTATGTGAATATACAATATATAAGTGCAAGAAGTC